CTTTCTTTCTTTCTTTCTTTCTTTCTTTCTTTCTTTCTTTCTTTCTTTCTTTCTTTCTTTCTTTCTTTCGCTCTTTCTTTTTTTTCTTTCTTCTCTTCCTTTCCATTTTCCTATCTTTTTCCTCTCTTACTTATTTATTTACTTACAATCTTGACTGCTTCTTGACTTGAGTAGTTTGTTTGTTCCTTTCCTTTTTCCTCTTCTTTGATGCTCACTTTCTATAGTCCTGGTTGTCTAACTTTCTTTCATTCTTTCTTATCTTTCCCTTACATATGTAAATCCTACACAGGCTCTCAAAAGAACGGGAAGAGCTGTAGCTGTTCTCCTGTTCCCTGGATATTATTCCATACGGACAAAGTAAAGCTTGAGTTTCTACTGAGTTGGCGCTTAAGTCCAGAGTTTCCTTAAGACTACAGTGCTAAGCTACTCCACGGTACTCAATCGCCAATCGGGCAAAATCGCCTAAAGTATAAAAGGTACATTTGGCGTAGGTTAGTTAGAAAGTAATCGTAAGGGCGACATTGTTGCAAACATGAACATGACCTGGTCCCTGATTCTTGGAAGAAAAATAATTATGATGGATATCAAAAATGCTTTAATATTAAATACTTAATATTTCTTACCACTGTTCTGGACAGATGCCCATGGCTGGCGCACAGTAGGAGTGGCTAAAGAGAATTCTGATAGATACTTAACGAGAAATAGAACGCAGCACTCTTCAAGTAATGGTTTTCCAACGTTCTTTGCAGGTTGCAGATGCCGCCACTGCATGCGATCGGTTTCATGCCGTCACCACATCGTCCTAATTGAAGTTGCCGAGGTGGTAGCGGTGGTGGCGGCAGTAGAGGGGGGATTCAAGGGTGTGGTTTCATGTTTACTTTACACCAATGTGTGAGTGGTGGTGGTAGCGGTCGTGGAGGCGCCGTTATGTGTGTGCGCGTATGTGTGTGTGTGTGAGGGTGCGCATGCGTGAACCGACTCAGTGGAATAGAGACGATGGAGAAGGTGAAGCTGCTCAAGTTTTTCCTATTTCCATGATGAAAGACAGCAAGACATAAGCAGGCCTACTTGTGGCATTCATCGATCCTACACTTTCATCCTGTTGTATACCACCTTCAATAGCTCTATCCGGCAGCTTCCGCGATTTTTTGTTTCATTTTTAATCATTTTTCTCCTTCCTCGTCTTCACTACCCGTCCCACTTCGGAGCGGGGTCCGCTTTACTGGTATGTTGGGGCCGCGTTCCCGGTTGAATGCCTGGTCGTAGTTGATGTCCACTGTTTTGTATTTTTATGAGCATGGACACCTTTTGTGCACCTTTGATGTGGTTTGCTTTATCCTTTTTTTCTTGAGAGCATTTAGAAATCAGAAAAATTTAGAAAATTATGTCGTTGGAAAAGATGAATAGCGCGTCTCTTCCGCTTCTACAGATGAAATGGCTTTCAATGCTGCTTATGGAAATTCCTTATGAATGGCAAAGTTAAAAAAAAGAGCAAAAAGCTTTATCAACTGGAATTAATCAATTTTTACTAGAACTGAATAAAAAGAGAGGCAACACAAACTGTTCTGGGATCCGTGTCCGGCTCATACTCCATCTATAATAGACAACCTAGAACTACCATTCTTCTGCTTTTAGTGGTGTAGGAATCGACGTTGTCTCAAGAATCCTCGAACAATGGTTTTTGCTTCATTCTAAGATTATTATATAGCAATTTCATAGACCGGATGCTTATTTAAGATTCGGCAACTCCATGTGGAATACAAATATGTGGCGCATTCCAGAGATAGCTCGTGTTCATTCAATTTGCTTTTACTCATTCTTTGTAAATTTAGCGATCAAAACATATCCCACTTGCAGTCGTGCATTCTAAGTAAAATTCGCCTATGGTGCGCCATGCATTTATCCTGTAGACCGGTTGAATTGATTGGGAATGTCCCCTCCTTGCTCTCAGAGGTGCAGAACTTCCTTTAAAGCTCTCTAAACACCAAAACAGAAAAGATTTTACAATATTATCTTCATCGTTTACGAAGTTTTTCTTAATTTATTGGTGTTCTAACATTACTATTCGTAAGTTGCTACCCAGAATGTGTGTACTGTTTATTCACGTGTAAGAGTTGCTTTTTTTTCTTTTAGTCTTCGCAAGATGTTTGGAATAGAGTGCGACGAACTGGTGCCGTTACTAGTCATATTGCCTCGGGATATCTGCCTAGATACCACCTAGGCCGACTAGGCCTTCCATCTTTGATCGGGTTTAGTTAGGTGATTCATAACTTAGTGAAAGCTTAGTAAAAAAATGGTAGAATTGTTCTTCAAGAATGTATTTCCAAGAAGATTTGGAATGAGAAGATTTCATCAATAATTGCTTTTGGAAAAAAATTCTGAGCAACTTTATTGATCCAAATCTAATGTTTTGCAGAATAAAAAAAGAAATAGAAAAAGTTGAAGGGAAAAAAATGTATGTGAAATTAAGAGCTTCACAATACTCGTTGAGTCAGAGTGCGTGGCGCGATCCTTTGCAAGAATTTCATTTCTATCGATCATTTTCGGTATAAAAGGGAGAGCGACTGGATATTTTGAATAGTAATCCTGGAGGGAAAATCTCTTTCTTCAAGGTTTAGCAAGGGTGTGAGTAAGCTCGTGGACGTGTTGTTGCCAGTGGCAACGTAAGGATCATATCCCCCGCGATAGGCCGTCGTAGGCCGATGAAAGGGGAAAAGGCCAGCTAGACAACCACCTTTGACCGAGCTGTACAGCTTTTGGTAATGATGTTTCCCACTACCATCCAGGTCTCTTTTTGAAATTTTTTTGTTGATTAACTACCAATCGATAATTTGTCGAACTCATTTGGTTTTGTTACGCTCTTATTCCTTTTACGGTTTTCTTTGCATTGTAAAAATCAGGTCATCGTTAACGACTTTGCACTTTCTTATTGTCAAAAAGAAAAGGTAATCGGAATTGAGAACA